ACAACATCATAATATCTATTGTTCATGTTCAGCTTTTAGCCAGGAGGCCAGTTCATTTGGCGCCCCCCGAGCAGATGAACATGCAGGTGGTACACAGACTGGCCTGCAGCCACACAGTTTTCATGTCAAAGATTCAATTAAAAATTAAGATGAATAAAAAAAGTTTAAATGCGTAAATTAAAAGGGCAAAAAATGGCACTCACATCCATTCGGCCCATCATTAATCACAAGCCTGAAGCCATCATCGAGGCCTTCTTGTTTCGCAACTAGCTTGGCTGTGTAAAGTAGATGGCCGAGAATTTCACAGTGCTTTTCTTCAGCCTACGTAACAATCATAAAGCATTTATGATAACAACAACAATAATAATAATAAATAATAATAATAATAATAATAACAATCAGAAATGTTAACTCTAGAGAAAGAAAAATATGGTCAGGAAAGCATGATTCTAATCTTGATCTGTACTTTTAGTTTCTTCAAACTAAATTTAATCTTGAACACAAATCCTATAATTTAGCTTTCCAGTGTGCCCAAAAACTACTCTGAATAAGTCTCAGTAGTATTGTAAGATTAAAAAAGTGCCAAAAACACAAGAAAAAGGAACGCGAATGTTATACACAGCACATGCACGCAGCTCAGATCAAAACAAACAAAAAAATGGCAATCCTAGATTTCATGGTGCCATCTTTATCCGTACAAAAACAACGAAAATGACAAATGCTCTACAAAAACACAGCACAGTCCATGCTCAAGGCTGTGTTTGGTAAACATAAAAACTAGCTTATAGCTTATTTGATTAGCTTATACGCTTTTTGTATCCATATAAGCTTGGTTTAGTTAGTAGGACGAGTTCTTTTAAAAGCTCGAGCTCATCTCATAAGCTTGCTTGGGTAGCTTTTCAAATAAGCCCATTGAAATTTTTGTTTCAGTTAGCTAATTTTAACACACTTTTATCATATCAGCTAGTTTTTCAGCCATAAGTCATAAGCTATAAGTTATAAGCTCAAAATTCATTTAACAGTTATAAGTTAGCTTATCAGTTAGGTTTACCAAACATAGTGTAAGATGAACAAAATTCAGATTTTAAAGATTAAACGACAGTAAAATCTGATCATACAATGACATGCACATGATTTTGGACACAAATACGCAACAACAGCAGAAAGAAATTACCTTTGAAATCCCAGTTAACCCGTCTTTTACTTTAGGAATAAGCACGACGTGTGTAGGTGCCTGTGGAGCTATGTCCCTGAAAGCTAGAACCTGCCCATGGCCAAAAAAAAAAAAAAAAGCTTGAGGAATTTCTCCAACATTTTAATCACATATATCATTGGCAGTTAACTTTGACTCAATCAAAGAATGAAAGAACAATGATAATCAGTTCGAGAAATTGTTCAAGGCAAGCTATTAAAAAAATAATCTCCAGACAAGTAGCATTTCTGAATATGGGCCACCGAGAGATTGTACTGTCCCGTTACGAAATTATTCCGTCGAGGTTTGTAACCGTTAGATCAACTATCCACGACAGTTATATTATGATCTAACGGTTACAAATCCCGACGGAATGGTTCCGGGGGTTGTAGCATTTCCCATGGGACACCATAATATATGAAAAATGAACACTTTCTTTTTCCCATTTTCTCCTCAAATGTCAACCAAGAAATTAGGGTTTGAATTCGACAATACCAAATTAGTTCCACAACACAAGCTGATACCAATTACCAACACCATCACCTCCAAAATTATCAAGAAATCACAAGGAAATATCACAATATCCCCCAACAAAAGGAGACAAATATAAATCTAAAACAAAAAAAAAAGGAAGGCCGAATGAACACCAGACATACCTTGTCGTCCTCGTACACGATGTTGGCCGGAATTTGCTTGTTGATAATCTTGTCAAATCTGCAGAATCGAAGTTTTTGTGGACACTGATTAGTGATTAGTTAGACGTGAAAGAAAACAAATCAGAAAAAAAAAATAATAATAATAAAAAAAAATAAAAAGAAAACGGAAAGAGAGTGAGAGGGTAGGAAGAGGACATGGTCGGAGAATCAGAAGGATCGGCCGCGAGAGCAGCCTCTTTCTCGGAAGCCATGGCCGCCGGAGAAGGTTTTATTAGTGTTCTGGCAAATGAGAAGTGAGCTAACTGCTGCTGAGATTTGCCCCTTTGCTCATATACCCGGTCCACCTTCATTTATTTATTCTTTTACCCCTTATTTCTAGTAAAACAATACATTTTACCCCAGAAATTCTATGGTGCCACGTGGCACGTGTTATGGTGCCACAACATGATGTAGCACATTATGATTGGTGCCACAACATGATGTGTGATAGTTGTGGCATCAATCATAATGTGCCACATCATGTTGTGGCACCATAATATGGTGTCACATGTGGCACCATAGAATTTCTGCATTTTACCCCTTATTTCAATCTTTTTAATTCTATCTTTTTGCCCCCTCATATCTATTTAAATAGTAAATCTACGATAGAAATTCAAATTTTCATATGATTGGGAATGTTATTCGAAACGAGGTGAGCACTTCGCTACATTTATTTCACAAATGAGCCGAAAGCTCAGCTCGACTCGTTCAAACAAAACCAAATTCTAAATGAACTATCCGCTAATGTAATTTGTGCGTTAAATAACATTCTCCGTTCGATTTATTTGTTCGAAACTTACAAAAAAAACTTAAAAATTAAACAAGTTGATAGCGGACGAACTCGATTAGTTGTTCGAGCTCGGTTCATTTCAATAAGCGAACGAACCAAGCAAAAGCTTTAAAGAAGCAGATCGGAATATGCTCATGAACAACTTGGTTCAAATAACACCTCTACATCTTACATTCATTTCATAAACGAGCCAAAAGCGCAGGTCGACTCGTTCAAACAAAAACAAAATTCTAAATGAACTATCCGCTAACGCAATTGGTGCGTTAAATTCCATTCTCGGTTCGATTTATTTGTTCAAATCTTACAAAAAAAAAAAAACTTAGAAATTAAACAAGTTGTTCGCGAACGAGCTCAATTAGTTTTTCGAGCTCAGCTCATTTCAGTAAACGAACGAACGAAGCTCAAGCTTTCAAGAATCAAATCGGAATATGCTCACGAACAACTTGGTTCAAATAACACTTCTATATATGACC